ACTGACTGACTCACAACTAACTAACTAACAAACTTAGTAATCATGTTTACACTTATCATCACTGTACTCTAACACTCATCTAGCAGAATGTTAGCAACTTTGAATCACGATGAATAACCCGTAGTCGAGAGTCTTCATGTAGGTAAAGAAGGCCCCTTGCAATGCCATCTATGATTTCGTAGAGGGTTTCCCAATCTAGAAGTACACGCTTGACTGGATCTGCAAATCAACTAGAACTAGATCAATTACCTGAACTGACCATGGAGATTACATGTTCAAACTCTATCAAGGAACCGAATGATGAATTACCAAATATCAAGTTGTTGAGGCCCGAGTTGGGGAGAAACTCATAGACAAGAATCCTTTCTTCTTTCTCGAAGCAGAAACCCAGGAGTCTAGCCAGATTTCGATGCTGAAGCTTGACGACTAACATGACCTCTTTCTTGAATTCTAGCTCTCCTTGTCCAGATGTCCTAGACAGCCTTTTTACAGCTATATCTTGTCCATTAGCAAGTGTGCCCTGAAATCATGTCAAAATCAACAATGTACAGAACAAACTGAATCTAGTCCAAAATTACCAAATGTCTGAAGTGGAATCATATTTAGAAGGTGAATGATTTTCCCTTACCTTGTACATGGTGCCAAATCCTCCTTGTTCGAGTTTATTATCCTTGGAGAAGTTACCTGTTGCTTCTCTGACAGTGCCAAAATCAAGTTGGAACAATTCCAAATCTTCCATTTCATATAAATCTACACCAAAGCAATCCTAAGGCATAAGCAAAAGAAAAGGCCACTTCTCCGAAGAGCTTGATGGAAACGTTTCATATAAAAGATGGTGTTTTCTAACAAAGTAATTTAAAGCTTCAGTTTGAGAGTGGGAATGCTAAGCGATAAAAAGAGGACTTTAAGAGGCTAAAAAGCTTGGTGTTATGTCCTTAACATTTGAAATAGCCTCTGAAATTACCTTTAACTTCCTCTTCCTCCTTCTGCTTCCTAGCTCTTAAGAAGATGCAAACGCAAACTATAAGAATCACATAAACAACTATTGGAACAATGACAATGATAATGATGACATTCCTCTTCTTGCCCTTTTTTCCTAAAAACCAGAAATGAAATCTGATTTACACATGTTTAGAATGAATTTATAGATATGTCTTGTAAAGTCATTTAATTAGGTGGCATAATTAATGGGATTTGAGTAGGAGATGAGTTGTAATTGGTGGAGTATGAGTGGAGGATGAGTTGGTATAATTAATGGAGTATGAGTGGAGGATGAGTTGTTAGGCATATATTCCTAAATTTATGACCATTATACCCTCACTCTTGCCTATAAATAGGCAATGCATTCAAGCCTACATGCACACCAAAATAGAGAGAAGAAGAAGAGAGTGAAGAGAGAGTAATCCCACAAAATTATGAGGTATTTGTGATAGAGTAAGTGAGGTGTTTTCTCCTAATAATAGAGAGATTCTTAGTTGTTCTCCTATTATTCGAAAGAGGTTGTAATTCCCATATTACTTAGTAAAATCCTTCTATACTTGTCTGTGGACGTAGCCCAATTGGGTGAACCACGTAAATTCTTGTGTGTTCCATTTCTCATTTTATCCGGTCTCTTATCTTTTATCTTGTCGGGTTTGTATGACAACATCCTAACAGTGGTATCAGAGCATTTTGGTTGGTGTTGTTAACATACAAAGTTATTCGTGCATACGGGTACTATTCACCTATATGACACTATTCATCTATACGGTACTGTTCACATACGTTACTGTTGGCGTATATAGAAAGTCAGTGCGGTGATTAAATACCTGTATTTACGCAGTCGTGCCCTTTTCAGCTTCTTGCAGATCACGCCCCTAAGACTGCACAGAACTTTCTAGCGCTTTGCTCAGGTGACATGTAAATCTTCTCTATATTGTTAGAAATTCTGAAAGGCATGATGCTTGAAATTCACAATGTGAACTTGTTTAGAAAGCTGGATAAACATGAAATTGGTTCTATTTGTGTGCCAGTCGACGTATAGATTATCCGATGGGTGGCTTCTGTAAATTAATTAGGTTAAAATAATAATTTTTGCCAGCTCATGAATCTCAATAGGAACTATATATCAATTCAAGTGCCACCTGCAATTGCATCACAGTTGAATGTCATAGATCTTTTTGTTATGGTTAATGAACAAGCATCAGAGAGACCTTTCAGTAAAATTCTCTCTTATGTATTTGATATCAAGTTTAAAATTGTAGGTGACATGGGGCTTGGAAAGCATACGGGAAAGCCTATGTACCTCAAAGGGTCAACTTTTTATAATGTAGTGAGGGGAAAATGGGCTGAGGTATTCGTCTTCCTTTCTTTCTTAACGGCTTTATAGTTTGTCTATAGTTTGCTGTATCCAGAAGCCTCTAAATAGCGATCATTACAGGCATGCCATTAAATAAGTAAAAGTTATCCTCACTGTTTTCGTGGTTCATGCAGTCATTCATTGTTTCATTCTATTATCATAGATAGATTTTGGTATGAGCCTGTTCATAGAATTAGTGAAATCATTTATTATGGACGAGACCTTCTATTGAAAGATCATGCTGATAGTCTGGCTTAAGCAATCTATACTACAGGCCCATTGAAAGCCTGCTGCAAAGATATGTCTCATTTTTCATGGAACCAAAAAAATCTCATCATTTGTATCCCTTGGTTTTGCTAAATGTTTCATGCAACCTTATTCTCTTCTTAATGTTTTTTCCTTCTTCACAGGGCGGAGATTTCTCTGAGGAAAATGGTAAGTCAACAGCAAGGTCTTCTGATCCTTCCAGTTATGCAACCGTTTTTTTTCATCGTTATTCACAGATTAGTAAACCATCAGTTGCAATGATGATTTCAGGAACTGGTGGAGAGAACATATATGGAATACCATTTTTTGGTATGTAATATGAGCCCGTGTGCCTTAATATGCAGATCTCAGTCACCCTCTAGTGTCTTTGTTTCCAATGCATGTTTTCTTATGTGTGTATCTGAAAGGAGAAGTTTGCTTTTGTCACTGTAGTTTGGATTATCGTTTTCTGTAATTATGTTAACTTCAATCTTTACATATGCAGATGAGGGCGGGAGACTCAAACATGATGCACCTTATCTTCTCACAACGGCAAGTGATTATCATAAATATACAATCGGATCCTGTTTCTTTATCACCTTCAATGAGCTAAATGAACTCGATGGGTATGGTGTTATTTAGTTACTTGGCACAGAGCTCTAATTTCTAATTCCTATTTTCTAGATTACTTTGTATTTCACGATGCTAACAACTTATTCAGCTTCACTTATACGTGATTATTACACAACATTCAATGATGGCATATTCTACCTGTTCCCAGGAAACATGTTGTGTTTGGAAGAGTTGTGAGAGGCTATGAAACTGTGCAGAAAATTGAACAGGTCCAAACATTTCCTGATGGAAGGCCCGAACATCTTGTCATCATTACAGCATGTGGAGTATCTCCTAAAACTAGAAGTCTTAATTCAATCTTGATAAGGAAAGGTATAGCATTTGCTGAATTTTCTGAACAGTTTGAAATCTTAATGCTTTTCTTTCCTGAAAAAAATCAATATGATTTGCCTTGTAAGGTAAAAAAAAAGATTTCTCCAGCAATTTCATATTGAAAAGGCAGATGAAGACTATGCGAAATCTTTTCTGATTAAAAACGAGATTGAGTAATTTCAAGTTTCTGGCTGTAGTTTTCAACAATGTTCCAATTATTTGGGTTCTTTGACAGATTCCATGTTGCCTTCTGAAGGAAGACATTCGAGAAAGAGAAAGTCAAAAAGACACAGAGTTGTTGAGCAGCACTCTGAATCCAGGTTTTTGATGTTGGCTTGCTTTGATCCATTCTGATGTTAGCTTGCTATTTTCCTATATGCACGTATGAAAAGATGTTTCATAAACTCTTTATCTGCTTTCTTATGCGGGAAAACTTCTTTTTTAATTCAAAAGGCAGAAAAGCTAATCTTAGTAGAGCAGATGTGGGACTGTGAAAGCTGGTGTGACTTGTCGTTGTAAATATTCTGAACTTTTCAGGCATGATCAAAAACAGAGAGGTCATTCCAATCAGTCATCTCCAAGCCATTACCAAAGCAAGTCAAGAGAAAAAACTTCCCCTGGATGGTATTCTCTCGTTAGTACACTGACAGCAAATGGCTCTTGTTATCTTCGTTTTCTTCTCAGCATAATGTCAAAATTTTGTTTCAGCAGGAGTGCTCGAAGCAAGAAAAACTGACACATGTTATCATTTTTGCAGGAATTATGAAGGTGACGGGAATAGTGCCAAGGAATCAGTCCCTAGGCATTCAAGGAGCAAATTGAGAGACAAGACTTCCCAAGGATCCCGATGGTATACTCTCTCCAGTGTTTTGTTTTGTTTTGGTTGCAATCCTCTTCGTCACTTTTCCCAGACCACTCTTTCTCTCAGGCGTTCTTCATATACCTGTTTTCCCTTCATAAAATAGAGAAAACAAAGCATGAAAACGCATAAATATTGTGTTTTTTTCAGGCCTAGTCCAATCAAGAGAAGTGATTCCAAGCACTCACCTAGGAAGCGTGACCGGAGCAATTCAAGAGACAGAATAGGCCATCAATGGTATTCTATCTTCATTGTACTCTCGGCGATTTGACATTCTTGTGATTATGTTGGAATCATTTTCTTTTGGTTGTAAAGTAATAGCTTCCCAAACCATCCCGGCTCTCACAAATTCTTGATTTACTGTTTTCCCCTTATAAAATACTTGAGTAAGAGAGAGCAAGGCAGGAAATCATGCACATGTTCTGATTTTTGCAGGCGTATTCGAAGTGAGATAAGCGATGCAAGGAACCGATACACGAGCAAGTTAAGTGACAAAACTCTCGTCCAATTATATTTCATCTTCATTGCACTTACGAAGATAAGTGATATCGTGGCATCCTTATATTGAAATTCATTTTTTCTAGTTAATTTAACCAGCTTCATGCCTTTTTCAATTCTAGATTAAAAAAGCAAAGGAACTTATTTTCCTCTCGGAGACCACTCCATTTTTCATTGACAATTTTCCCTTCATTTAATACTTGAGCAGGTGTGGCCGAAGCAGGAAAAACTTGCAAAAAGCACCTGGTTCACATGCACATGATCGTGGTCACAGCAAGCAACAGAATCACTGTCCAGATCCTGAAACGGAGTTTCCTAGCTTGAGTAAGAGTATGCAAATGCGACTCCGTCTCCCTGGAGATGATGCACAGCCTTAAGATTGGAGTTCTAACTAATTGAATGAGCTATTACAAGCATGAGATTGTTGTAAAGTCATGTAATTAGGTGGTATAATTAATGGATTTGAGTGGGAGATGAGTTGTAATTGGTGGAGTATGAGTGGAGGATGAGTTAGTATAATTAATGGAGCATGAGTGGAGGATGAGTTGTTAGGCATATATTCCTAAATTTATAACCATTATACCTTCACTCTTGCCTATAAATAGGCAATGCATTCAAGCCTACATGCACACCAAAATAGAGAGAAGAAGAAGAGAGTGAAGAGAGAGTAATCCCACAAAATTATGAGGTATTTGTGATAGAGTAAGTGAGGTGTTTTCTCCTAATAATAGAGAGATTCTTAGTTGTTCTCCTATTATTCGAGAGAGGTTGTAATTCTCATATAACTTAGTAAAATCCTTCTATACTTGTTTGTGGACATAGCCCAATTGGGTGAACCACGTAAATTCTTGTGTGTTCCATTTCTCATTTTATCCTGTCTCTTATCTTTTATCTTATTGGGTTTGCATAACAGCATCCTGACATGTCTAATAAGTAACAAGTAATAACATAGTAAGTTAAGTCAATATCAAAAAGTTAACTTCTAAATTGCTGGGAATAGATCATTAATTGAATCGAATCTTTGACAGCCTTAACTCACATACTCAATTTCAAAATAGTTGAAGAAAATTATTTCATCTAGTCATGCTTTAAGTTGTGCCCATGCCTTGTGAAGATGAAGCTGGCGCTGATGGAACTGTATTAGTCGAAGTTGAATGTGGTGGTGGCGGGATTGAATTAGTCGAAGGGTCATAGAAACGGTCTATTTCATACCTAAAATTACAGCTTGGATAAATAACTCTTCCTCCTTGTCTTGCATCACAACACTGTGGAATAAGTCCTGAAGCATTATACAGGCAATCCCTGCATTCCGAAGCAGATAAATCAGGAGTACACAGTACAAGTGCATATATTATTTGAAAATCCGCGGCACCTATTTGACCCATTGCATACTTGTAACGAGAATCACCTGCGGCTGCTTGATCGCTTAACCTACCTAACAAAGTCATCCGTGACTGATTGAACCCGACTACATCAGAGACAGTACGTCGATCATCATACACCCAAAAATAAGGTCCTTTCTCCATGCGATTAAATATGGAGCGTACCATACAATTATCTAACCCTCCGATTGCCTCCACAAAGTTTGGACAGAGTCTTACCAAGAAATCACTAGCATTTCTTATGCAAACACGGCAGACATCAGGACTGATATCTGGTTTACAAAGTGCAATTGAATAGACTGTGTCGGCGTCTTGGCCGTAGGAAAAATTGTAAAAGCCATTGTTTATTTCAGTGTTGGTGTAGATAGAGGTGAGGAGTTGATTGAGATTTGCCTGGTAAGTACTGTTAGTGGTGTAGTTGCCCTTTCCTACACAGTCTTTATACAACATTACAGGCTGGTCTGATGGCTGCTGTGCCATAGCCAGAACTTTCAGGAAAAGAAGACAGGCTGAAAAAAGGAATCTTAAAGAAGCCATAGGTTCTGTTTCCTGCCTCTGTATCTGGTAGAATGATATGCAGGATTGTACTTACAGCCCCATTCAGATTTATATGGACTCATGGAAGACACTTCACTTCCAAGGATTGGTGGTGATTTCCTTGCTTGACTTTGGCATCAAATCAGGAAATGATCTTCCTTATTATTGAACGAGATAGTCCAAGTAATAACAGAGTGAGCATAAAGTCTTAACTAGAGAATAGAAAACGAACGACCAACCAGGGGTGGCTGTCATCATCTGGGTTTGAACAGAATTGGCCGAGCCATTGACTAAATAGACCAACAATATTCTCGGAATTGTTTTTTCCAGAATAAATATTAGTCACTGATATTTACAAAACTTGATGACTAAAATTTATGCTCTCGAGAATGTTAGAATTCTTGTAACCATAGTTGTCAAACCCGATCCAAGAGTTGATCCAGTCAAAAATCTGGGTTCAGTTTACACTGGTTGATCTGGATTAACCTAAATCAACATGAATCAACTCAGAAATTAACCTAAATCAACATGAATCAACTCAAAAAAATTTTAAAAAACGTATTTGAAGTTTTAATATTTTATATAAAAAAATTAAAAAACAATTCACATGAATATATGCTATACATGTTATAAATAATGAAGTTTAAAAGATTATTTTAAGATGTTTTTTATCCCACATTAAAAAGATATTATAATATCGTTTTAAGTTGAAATATTTAAACCAAAGGATTTTTTATCCTACATTGAAAAAACATAATTTTTTTCTTATAAATATAAAATATATATAATAAAGGGCTTCCAATCTCACATTAAAAAAATAATATTTTTCTTATGAATATAGAGTATATATACTAAAGGATTTCAAATTCAATATTGAAAAAATAAAATATTTTTCTAGTATATATATAATAAACTTTGAAAAGAGTTATTAACCAACTAAAAAAAAGTGGTCTCTTGCTATAAAAAAAACATATTTGAAAAAAAAGAAGACCTCTATCGAGTTTTGCTAGGTCGACCGGGTTTGACTATTTTTTTTGCTCTTGCTATTCTTTAACCTTATCAGTTCAATCCAACCACAAAATCAACTTGATGTTAGGTCAATTTATCAGTCCAATCCAGGTTTAATAATTATACTTCAGACTAAGCACACCCGTTTCACATGCAATATTTTGTAAATTCACTCTTTGTTTCTCATCTTATATCTATCTTATATTATAAAATAGCAGCATACTCTTGTACATCATCATAAATTGACTCTTTTCTTCCCTTTTAATGTCACTTGCATGCTTTGCTCTATTTTTTAAAATTTTAATTAATATAAATTTTAGGTGGTTTCTGAGTGTTAAATTAATGAGTAATAAGAGAGAAATTCAAAGAAAAAAAAACTTTGAATGAAAAATTTATACAATATATTTATTATGTTTTTTTATCAAATGAAAGATTGTATTATAAAATTTCATTTCATATATATATTGCATATTTTTTTATTGAATTTACAATAGTAAAACTATCTCTGATACATGTTGATTTATTTCAAGGCCATATGAATTGTTTAAAAATTTATTTTAATGTAAAATTTAAAATATTGGTAAAGTTAAAAACATTAATTAGCTCAAGTCATCAAATAAAAAGAGTATGTGGTAGCATAATACATTAGTCATGTTGTTACCCAATTTTTGACCCATATTTTTGATAAATATTCAAAAAAAAATAAAAAAAAATGAAAAACCCCCAAAAAATATATTTTGATATATTTGCATTGTTTTTAGCATTTTCAACGTCATCTTAGAAGAATTTAAATTTTTAAAGGTATTTTGAACGCATTCAATTTTTAACGCGTTAATTTTATGATCACTGATTTTTCTTGTTGAGTCGACGTTGATATTGTCTGCTTTCAAAAACACAAAAAAAAAGAGAAAATCAAAATTAACTAAAAAACAATAGGAAAAGTTGAGGGACCATTCTGATTTTGGCCAGTCCACACTTTTTCTATAAATGCCACACTTTTTCTATAAATACCACACTACACCAAAGCGGGGGGGAAAAAAGAAGAAATTTTCGGGGAGAAAATCAACAAGAGGGGAAGGACAAGAAAAACCCTAAAAAAAAAAAGAGAGAGGAACCGGCCGCCCCCTTTCCCATTCAGCAAGGAAAAACTAGAGAGAACAGGGGCGGCCGCAAGCTTCCCTTTCCCCGTTCCCCAAAGCCGCCCCCCCCCCCCCTCTCCACTTAAAAACTACAGATCGCCTCCCCTCTTCCCCTAATCTGCTCTTTCTCCCTGAAGCCAGTCACTCGAACCAGCTCTTCCCCAGGCGTTTCTCGACCTCCATGGCTGGCTGTCTCGTCATTCAACCCATGGCTCAACCCCATAGCAGCTCCTCCCCCACGCACGGCAGTGGCCATGGAAGGCCTGCAGATGAACTATTGAACCGCTCCCTCAGCCAGCAGCAGTGATCAGTCCCTTAAGTTGGTCTCCCCGAGTCTCATCGTCGCGTGCGCCGACGTGCCACCAACCACGACAACTTCTTCTCCGATCTGCGACCATCCAGACGGCAGCAAGCAATGGCGGCGTTAAACCCAGAAGAAGAAAGCATTAATGGAGGGAGATAATGGCAAATCTAAAAGAAAAAAGGAAAACAAAAGTGAAATCTACTGCTTGTGTTGTTGGGTTGCTTTGCAGGTGACTGGGGGATCCACCGCCGGTATGAACGGGAAGAGAAGAAGGAGACGATCCCGATCCACCAGTTTGCTGGTCTTCGCCGGCGACGGCATGTGGATCCACGCGCCAGAAGAAGGAGACGATCCCGATCCACCAGTTTGCTGGTCTTCGCCGGCGACGGCATGTGGATCCACGCGCCAGAAGAAGGAGACGATCCCGATCCACCAGTTTGCTGGTCTTCGCCGGCGACGGCATGTGGATCCACGCGCCAGAAGCTTCAGCTTCTTCTTCATCCTCACTTAGGCTATCCTCATAGACTAGCTGTCTTCGTAGGATTCCTAGAGGGCGTTCTCAAGTTTCAGCCCCTTCTCTGTGATATTGATGACCCCAAGGATTGTTGATCCCCTGATTATTTCCTGCTGTCAGCCTAGCTGCTTGGATATCACGTAAGGTTTGTGGTGTCTCATGCTGGAAAATTATACGATATATAATAATAATAATTTTCTTAGTTATTAAGAGCTGCATGTTATATTTGCCTACGTGGTTTTTTAAAAATCATATCTATTTGTTGAAGATTATCGTTCTTTATATAAAGCTTAGAATTTTTTTCATCAACAATTCACTCAAACTCTTTAGCATTAAGCAAATTCTATGCAGCATTTTACGTTGTGTGTAGAGATCTCTATTTAATAACTGATTTATTAAAACTTTAAAATTTAATTAATTTCAAATTTTGAAGTCATATTAAATTACAAAACAGCTTTTTTCAGGTAGGGTGTGGGGTGTAATAATAGAGTAGGGTGTGATAGCAGTGTTAATATCTTTTCTAATCATAAT